GCCCCCAGAGCGCCAGCATCCACCGCAGCCAAGCACACTTCACCTGCCCCAGTACCTGCATCCGGACTTGGTGCTGCCCAGTAGGCACGCACTCCAGGCCGTCGTCAGGGCAGCAGCCACCGCAGCGCTGCACAGTCACACAGCTGGGCACCAGCTGCTTGGCCACAGTGCCCATGAGCTCCACAGTCAGAGGCACTACCACCTCCCGCGGCTGGCAGGTGGCACGAGCATACACATCTATCCATGACACTACTGGGGACAGATGTACAAGGGGTAAGTCTCCACTGGGTTGCCTATAGCTGCACTCTGGGTCCCCTAGCCTGCGCCCAGCAGCTGTTCTCCCTAGTTCCGGTGTCACAGCTACCCTCCACTAGCCCCACCTTCTGCCCTCCCAAGCCGTCTTCCCCTGACCTGTTTGTTCATCCAGAACCCAAGAACCCCACTGCCTCAACTTCTGCTTCTGTGAAATGGGCAGACTTAGTTTGCATCTTACAGAACAGCTGATTACTACACAAGATGATGGACACAAAACAAACTTCAGTGCTGGCTAGTGTGAAGATACTGTTGTTACCATTACCTTTCTTCTGGTGGCCAGGGGCATCAGGCTGGGAGACAGGGGCCTGTAGAAGAGAAGAGACCTGGACCCAAGGTGTACTCTAGCTAGGGCTAGCCCCGTCACTGTCGCCAAAGCTCTGCTCTTGCAGTCAAGAAGGCTTCAACTCCTCTCTGACATTTCTCCAGATTGCTCTATTCCTGGCTTCATTCTAGCTTTACCTGTTCTCTCCTGGACACCTGGGATCTTCTCCTGCTTACTACCTGCCTGATGCGCTCTGCTGGCGGAGTCCAATCTCCAAGCCTGGGGACCAGGCTTGTTCTGGAGGCCGCAGGTCAGAAGGGGGTACAGTGGGCGCCCAACCAGGTCTTGCGGGCACTGAGGCGGCTCCGCCCCCAGCTGAGCCCAGGGGATGGGGTGGGGCGGGGGAGTGGCCCCGGGGCTGGGCTGGCAGGCCAGCAGGGAAGGACATCTCCCAGGGGATGGCCCGAGCAAACTCCCGTTACGACCCTGATCGCGACCTGACCCGCGGATCCCCTCAGCCGAGGCCGCTCCACGCCTCCCCAACTTCCGCCAACCTTGAGAGAGGGCACCGCAGGCGGGCGGGATGTTGGGGACGCACGTACCTGGGCGGGGGCCAGCTGCAAGAGCGCGGCGAGCAGCAGGCGGCGGAGCAGGGGGCTC